GCCAATGCCATCAAGCATTTATTTAACATTTTAAAATGACCTTATTTTTTATTCCCGATGTTCGAAGGTGAAAAAAAGGTGGACAATGTTTAGCTGTTTGCCAGACAAGAGGATTTCTTTAGTAACTGAACTACTACGGGATATCTGTCCTCCTTTACGACAGAGAATGTTGGACGCTCTCCTCAAAGATGAAGAAGAGACTCGAGGCAAAGGAGGTATGGTTCTACAGTAGGATGCTAAGGATTCCATAGACAAAACGTGTGAGCAACGATGAGGTTTTGAAGAGAAGACAGACAAGGAGGAAGCTTATACTTAACATCAGGAAGAAGCAGCTGAAGTTTCTTGGATACGTAATGCGAAAGGAGGGCTTGGAGAATCTGATACTCACAGGTCGCATAGAGGGAAAGAGAGACAAGGGAAATCAATGCATGACATGCCTAGCGGGCTTAATTAAGTGGATGACAGAAGGTGGTCTAGGGGAGGTAGCAGATGGATGAAACTTATTAAAGGCTTCAAACGATAGGGGTAAGTGGAGATCTATGATCGTCTACGTCCTGAAGGGACATGGCACATAAAAATAAAAAAATAAAATGTTATTGAAAAGCAAATAAAAGCAGTTTACGAAGACGTTGAAGATTGTGCAGTGTAGAAGTTTTGTTGAAACGATATTCGCTTAAAGTGCAAAACTGTCAATCACCAACCAGTGTTGATTACTGTATGCGCACTATTTCTTTCTTTCTTTCTTCCTTTCTTTTTCTTTCTTTTTTCTTTCTTTCTTTCTCTTTGTTTCGTTTTTCTTTCTTTCTTTCTTTCTTTTTAATTTCTTTCTTTTTAATTCTTTCTTTTTTCTTTCTTTCTTTCTTTCTTTTTCTTTCTTTTATTTCTTTATTTATTTTTCTTTGTTTCTTTTTTTCTCTTTGTTTGTTTGTTTCTTTCAACCTAAGTATCTTTCATTATCTGTTGATCTATCAGACTATTAATCTCACCCAATCTCTGTCTGTCTGTCCCCGACTCTCTATCTATCTATCTATCTATCTATCTATCTATCTATCTATCTTTTGCGATGAACGGTGGCCATTACTAATTAAGTATAACTGAAGACTTCAATGTTAATATAAAACAGTATTTAATTACAACCGCAAATAAATACTTAACAAGAACAAAGAAGTAAAAGTGAAGTAAAGATAATTAACCATTTCAGTGAATACCTTGTTAGTAGCGCGGTTCGGTTTAACGTCTGGTAAATCCTAAATCAAACTCGAAATCATCGACGCACAATAATTCACACTAATTCTACTGGATAGTTCCACTCAATAGTCACTCAGTAATCACCTCAGTCAGTAGCCTGACACCGCTATTTATACACCTGACGGAAACACATATGTCTATTTTCTCTTTGTATAGATCTCAGCCAGTTAGTCTCTCTCTCTCTCTCTCTCTCTCTCTCTCTCTCTATCTATCTATCTATCTATCTATCTATCTATCTATTTATATCAGTCTTTTCTTATATATATACCGTACGAGGCAAAAAATGGACGCACCGATAGAAAGTCGATTTTTGTATTTTTAGTAATAGACAGTAATAGAATTCGTTTATTAATACAGGGTATCAATGCAGGTTATATATATATCTGTCTATCTCCGTCTTTTCATATCTATCTATCTATCTATCTATCTATCTATCTATCTATCTATCTATCTATGCATGTGATGGTCGTGTAAGGTTTATCGATATAGAATAGTTGAATCTCTGGCTTTGTCCGTTGCATTCCATTATTGGTACAAATGCCCATGCGAAAGACCATGCATCAATCTTTTCTCCATTTAGCTGTGGGTTGAATAGCAGGCTAAAATGAGCTCTTTAGCCTTGGATAGCAATGTTTGGAATTCCAAGTTTTCCTTCTTAGAGAAGAAAATCTCGGTATTCAAAACCGTGGAGAAAGAAACGGAAAACAATTTCACTGCTTTTCCCAAGATTATATGACAATTCACACCTAACAATGAAAAGGAAGTCGTGGAGAGCCATGATCGATTATGTCCTGAAAGGACATTAAATTTTAAAAAAATATCTATCCCAGTCTGTTCACATCTATCTATCTATCTATTTATCTATCTCAGTCTTTTCTTATATATATGTCTATCTATCTCCGTCTTTTCATATTTTATCTATCTATCTATCTATATCTATCTATCTATCTATCTATCCCCCCACCTCTCTCTATACATTTGCGTGGGGCGAGTGCGTGAGTGGGCGAATATGTGTGTATGTTTCGTTACTTCAGTGAGTTTTTTTTTTATATATATCTATATTAAATCGGTTCTTTTCATATCTAGCTCAACACACACACACACACACACACACACACACACACAAACACACACACACACACACACACAACCTCCCTCCCTCCCTCACTCACTCACTCACACAGACAAAAACAAACACAAATACACACACACTCACTCACTCACACATAGAGACACACACAAACACACACACACACTCACTCACACACGCCACAAACACACACACACACATACACACTCAAACACCCAGAAATAGATATGGAAATACCGAGATAGATAAATATGGATTGTTCTGATCGAAATGGCATACGTAGATATTTTTGCAATCACTTAACTGCTAAAAATATTTGATCGATGACAGGCCGCCTCTTTTATTGCCTTGCGCAAATATTGGTGTGCATATAGTCGAAAGCGTGTGTTCCTTTCCCAAGTTCCACGACACGAGAAGCGCCATCAATTATTTCTCCCTTTGATCCTGATTCCGATAGAAGTGTATAAATCATCGAATAGGCCCGAAATCCAAACGTACAGGTCTTGTTTATTTTTCCTGCACGCGCGGGCGCGCGCGCGTGTGTGTGTGTGAGCGTCCAGCGAAAAACGCATTGACCGCGTTTCTCTTTCTATGAGAAGATCTAAATTTTTTTCTCTTTTTTTTTTTTTGTTTTGCGTTCGATTGCTTCCATAATAACCAACAAGTTAATCAATATTTTTATTCTCACTGTCAGTTGCTGGTCGTAATGCCTGAAAAAAAATTAGTAGTCGACTGGCTGAATGTTTGTACTTTAGTCTTTCTGAATACCATGCTTAATTTCACACGAAAAAAAAAGAAGTTACTTAAAAGATTGCTTTATTTTGTGCTCACTTGTTCACTCACACACTCTCTCATACATAACCACATGATTAACTACAATGTTTTTTGAATTTTATCAACTTTCGGTGAAAGAAAGCTTTTCATTATTTTAAACCACTGGCGATCTTAACTAAGGAAGTACGTACGTATAAACATTTTAATTTTGAAACCAGAAACATTCATAGCAATTTTTTCACTATAGAATAAAATATACTTTTCTATTTTCAAATTAATGAATTAAAAATAAATCACACCTGTCATCAGTGATATCAAGAATTTCATAATTGCACTGGGTTGGAAAGAAATTGATTACTTGCATTATTTACATTATTCGGACTGTTGCCTCATCTTCATTACCATATTCACAACGTTTCGGTCGTTATACACTCCGGCCTTCAGATGATTGGAATTTAGAACTATATCTATGAGATGAGGGATTATGATTACTTGAATTATTTGCATTATTCGGACTGTTATCCTCGACTTCATCGCCATATTCACAACTTTCGGCCTTTAAACGCTCCGGCCTTTATGTCTATGTCCCTCTATATATATCTGTCTATATCTCTGAGATGAGGTATTATGATTACATTATGTTGTACGCTGCGACCTTCTTCAGTTGATTGGAATTTCGAACCCGGTGGACGAAATAAATGGTTCGATTTGATACAAAAGTTGTCTACGGAAATTAAAACCGTGCCACCCCTAATCAAAATGGATTGAATGACCAGAATCAGTAAGTCTGTGGCTGGCTATGAACTGATTTCTGGTCTGGCATTTACACACTATAATGTCTGATCAATGTAATTTAAGGTTAAATTAAAGGCATGATATGGCGACCAAGATGAGGGCAATAGTCTGATTAATGTAAATAGTGTACATGATACCTCACCTCAGAAATATAGACAGATACTGAAGGGCCGAAACGTTGTAATAAATATGGCGACAAAGATGAGGACAATAGTCCGAATAATGTAAATAGTGTACATAATACCTCATCTCAGAAATATAGACAGATACTGAAGGGCCGAAACGTTGTAATAAATATGACGACAAAGATGAGAACAATAGTCCGAATAATGTAAATAGTGTACATAATACCTCATCTCAGAAGTATAAACAGATACTGAAGGGCCGAAACGTTGCAATAAATACGGCGACAAATATGAGGACAATAGTTGGAATAATGTAAATAGTGTACATGATATCTCATCTCAGAAATATCGACAGATACTGAAGGTATGATATATTATGATACCTTTCCCAATGGTATTAGCACGTCCGTCAGTCAGTTATGTGCCATGTGTGATACAAGCTAAGGCGATCATGTATCTTTCGATACATTACTGACGAGGCAGATTTTTTCCCGCATTAGATTGCTATTTCTTTCTGCGGTAGACCAGTTGCCATCCAAAACTATAGAACCCAGTCTGTCCTGCTATTTACCCATAGCTGAGGAAAGAGTGATGGTGCTAATTTATTTCTTACTAACTTCCATGAAATAAAGTCAGAAAATAATTTTTGATTGTAATAATTTTTTGAAAGTTAATAATGAGTTATTGATATAAGTTCTTCTAATTAACCCATATCTGGGGGAGAAGATGTGGATTCAAACATTTTCCAAGAATAATTGCGCGTAAGTGGCTATAACGATCCCAACTGGAATTGAACCTAAGCTCTCCGATTTCCAATACTCCAAAGTGTTCTCTATTACACCATCCGCACATCCACGCTTACAGCATCTGGTATACCCAAGCGGTCACTTATTCTGGTACTGACCAGACTCGACGTTGCTTGACGTCGGTGATTGTACGTGAACCGGTATTTCAACGTGATACGGACGTGAGTCAAAAGAAAGAAAAAAATGAAAAAAAACGAAAAAAGAAAAAGAATGAAAGAAAAAGAAAGGGACAGAGAAAAAAAAGAAAGAGAGAAAGAAAGAAAGAAATATGAGTGGAAATGAATTAGATAAAAAGAATGAAAGAGAAGATATATAGGAAAAGAAAGGAAGTCTCATAAAGGGCGATAGGAGAATGAAACAAGAAAGAAGAGGAGAAAGAAAAAGAAGAAAGAAAGAAAAGCGAGAAAAGAAAGTAAGAAGAGGGAAAAAAACAAAGACAGAACGAAAAAAGAAGGAAAGAAAAAAGAAAGAAAGAAAGAAAGAAAGAAAGAAAAAAGAAGCATAAAACGAAAAAGAAATAAAAACGATAGAAAGAAAGAAAGAACGAAAGAAAGAAACAAAAAAGTAAAAAGAAAGAAATTTAGAACAAAAAAGAAACATAGAAAAAAAAAATAAAAAAGAAAGAAAAAAGAAAAAAACAAACAGTAAAAGGAAAAAAGAAAGAAACAAAAAAGAAAGGAACAAAAAACGAAAACTGAAAAAAGAAAAAAGAAAAAGGAAAAAAGAAAGAAAATAATATAAACGAAAGAAAGAAAGCAAAATCTGAAAGAAAGAATTTATATTATTTTTCTTTCGCGGGTTTTAGGAAAAAAATTACCGTCAGATTTCAAATTAAATAGATGTTTGCCTCTTTGCTTTTGGCATTGTTCGTTTGACTCTTTTGTGTCGCCATTACTGAAGCAAAATTGGCAGGCGACTTTCCACTGGATAAAAGACATGGTCAGATGAGGTAAGGTATTCGGTATGAAAGAGAGAAAGAAAGAAAAATGAAGAAATAAAGAAAGAAAGAAAGAAAGAAAGAAAAATGAAGAAAGAAAGATAGAGGAAAGGAATAAAAGCGAAAGAAAAACAAAGAAGAAAATGGATGAAAGGAAGGATGAAAAAAACGAAAAGAAAAGAAAATGAAAGAAGAATGAAAAAACGAAAAAGAAAAAAATGAATGGAAAAAAAACAGAAAGGAAGCAGAAAATAAAAAGAGAGACAAAGGGAGAAAGAAAAGAGAAAATCAGAAAAAAGGAATAATGAAGAAGAATGAAAGATAAAGGAAATGAAGAGGAAGAAAAAAAAGAAAGAATAATCGAAGAAAGAAAAGTCAAAAAGAAAAGAAGAAAAAGAAGTAGAAAAAAAGAAAGACAAAGGTTAAAAGAAAAAAAAAGAAAGAAAGGCAATAGATGCCAAGAAGAAATAAAGTGAAAAAAAAAGTCAGTGAATGAATATGAAAAAGGGAAAAGATACAAACAAAGAAGTATGATAAAGAGTGTAAGGTACTGAAGGGTGTAAGACGAGGGCGGCGGTGAAAACGGGATTGTGGGGACGAAAGAAATTTGAGAAAGAAAGACGAAAACGGAAAGTGGTAGTAGGAGGGTAGGAAAGGGAGGCTAGAGGTGGAGGATGAGAGGAAGTGGGATTTGGAGGATGAGAGGAAGTGGGAGGTGGAGGAGGAGAGGAAGTGGGAGTTGGAGGAGGGGCGCGGGTGAGAAAAAAAAGAAAAGATGTAAAGAAAGAAACTAAGACGATGCAAAGGAAAGAGAGTGAAGAGAAAAAACAATGAATGAAAGAGAACAAAAAAAAAGATTATATAGAGAAGAAAGCGAAGAAAATGGAATAAAGAGGGTGCTAGAGAAAGAATAAGAAACTACCGGAGGGAGGGAGGGAGGGAGAAAGACAGAGAGAAGTACAGTGAGAGTGAGGCTAAGAAGAGGGAGTCAGAAAGAGAATGAGGGGAAAAAGAACAGCGAAGGAAGGAGGAAAAAGGAAAACTGTAGAGAAGGAAATTGCATTTGAGAAAGAAAGAAGAGAAAAGAAAGAAAGAAAAAGAATCAAAAAAGAGAAAGATAAAGAAAGAAAGAAAAAGAATAAAAAAGAAAGAAAGGTGTAGAAAAATAATGACAGAAAGAAAGAAGCCACTGGGTAGATCAGATAGAGAGAGTGTGTGAGAGAGAGAGAGAGAGAGAGAGAGAGAGAGAGAAAGAGAGACAGAAAGAGAGAGGAAGAAATGAGAAGAGGAGGTGGATGGGGAGATGGAGCTAAGAAGTGAGTGAAGAAGAAAGACAGTGAATGAATGAGAAAAATATAAAGAAAGAAATAGAATTTGAGAAAAAAAGACGGAAACGGAAATTAGTAATAGGAGGGGGAGATGGGAGTAGGAGGAGGAGGAGAAGGGGAAGGGGAGAAGGAGCGCGACAGAGAAAAATAAGAAAAGATATAAAGAGACTAAGACGATGTAAAGGAGTGAGAGAGATTGTAGAGAAAAAAACAGTGAATGAAAGAGAAGAAAAAAGGAAGATTATTTAGAGAAGAAAATAGATGACAAAGTAAGCGACGAAAAATGGAATAATGAGGGTGCTAGAGAAATATTAAGAAACTGCTGGAGAGAGAGAAAGACAGAGAGAAAGAGAAAGAAAGAGAGAGAGAGTGAGGGTAAGAAGAGGGGGACAGAAAGAGAGTGAAAGAAAAAGAGCAGCGAAAGAATGAGAAACAAGCAGAAGGATAATAGAAAAGGACAAAGAATGAATGTGACGAAATGATTACGTTGGATGGAGAGGACAAAAGATGCGGAAAAAAAGAAAAAGAAAATAAGAAAATGAAAAAGAGGGGAAAAATGAATATTGATAAAGCAAATGGAGAGTGAGAAAGAAAGAAAAAGAGAGAGAGAAAGAGAGTGACACAAAAAAAAGCGTTTGGACAAGTGTTTATTGTCTCGGCGTGTAATAAACATGGCCGCTGTTCCCGCCTTTCTCGTCGATTCCCGCCATTAGCTTTATTTGTTTGTTATGCTCGTTCGCGGTCGCTGACGCTTATCAAATGCAGGTTTGCAGAAACTGAGACAGTCAATTACGAAGGAACTGTTATTGTTCGAGGCTGATTTTATTTCGAGGGGGCTTTTTGCAACAAGCACCGTACTCGATATCCCCACTTCCTTCTTCCCGACAGTGTCGGGCGGCCATCTTGATTTCTCGATTCATGGATGCTTTATTAAAACCTTGTGCTCGTTATACGCACGTAAGTTAAAATAACAATCTAATGAAGAGAAAGAATCAGAGTTGATGACGTTCTTAATGACAGTCACGATACGGTTGTAAAATTGACAAAATTACTAACAGTTTATGTTTAAAAATACGGTAAATTGATACAATGCTTGTATTTACATTGGTGCATGACAATGCAGGAATTTATATCGTTAAAGGAGATACGTCAGATTCGCTACGCCTGTCACGAACTCTCATTTACCTGTAACAAAAGACATAAAAAATGATTTCAGATTGACGGGAAACGATAAAAAAGACATTTTTATATTTATGTTTATTTAATCATTTCATTCCGTTGAAAGTAATAAAGCCACTTAGATACAAGGTGGTTACTAAGTGTGAAAGAATAAGAAAAAAAGAGAAACATTTTTAATGAACGGGATCAATAAAAGAATAGTTTCAAATTAAATAGATGTTTGCATCTTTGCTTTGGGCATTGTTCGTTTGACTCTTTTGTGTCGCCATAACTGAAGCAAAATTGGCAGGCGACTTTCCACTGGATAAAAGACATGGTCAGATGAGATAAGGTATTCGGTATGAAAGAAAGAAGGAAAGAAAGAAAGAAAAATGAAGAAAGAAAGATAGAGGAAAGGAATGAAAGCGAAAGAAAAACAAGGAAGAAAATGGATGAAAGGAAGGATGAAAAAAAACGAAAAGAAAAGAAAATGAAAGAAGAATGAAAAAACGAAAAAAAAAAATGAATGGAAAAAAACAACAGAAAGGAAGCAGAAAATAAAAAGAGAGACAAAGGGAGAAAGAAAAGAGAAAATCAAAAAAAAGGAATAATGAAGAAGAATGAAAGATAAAGGAAATGAAGAGGAAGAAAAAAAGAAAGAATAATCGAAGAAAGAAAAATCAAAAAGAAAAGAAGAAAAAGAAATAGAAAAGAAGAAAGACAAAGGTTAAAAGAAAGAAAGAAAGAAAGAAAGAAAGGCAATAGATGCCAAGAAGAAAAGAAAGAAATAAAGTTTCAGATTGACGGGAAACGATAAAAAAGGAGACATTTTTAAGGAGGGGGATCAATAAAAGAATAGTAATCAAAAAGGCAGTAGATGACGATTGACATTGCACTTAAGGTTTTGATGATCAAATGTGGCTAGAAAGTATGGAGCCAGAAGAGATTTCCACAGGCGAGTCGTGAGAACAATGAAGGAAGAGGAATCAAGAAGACAGCAGCTGACGATTGACATTGCATTTAAAGTTTGCTGATCAAAATTGGCTAGAAAGCATGGAGCCTGAAGAGTGTTCCACAGGCGAGAAGTGAGAACAATAAAGGAGGAGGAACAAAGAAGACAGTAAATAACGATTGACATTGAATTTAAAGTTTTGATGATTAAAATTGGCTGGAAAACATGGAACCGGAAGTGTATTCCACAGGCGAGAAGTGTGAGGAATAAGGGAAGAGGAATCAAGAAGAGAGTAGATAATGAAACCAATAAAAGACGAGGAATCGTTCAGTTCAGTTGTGTGTCGTGCGTGATACACGCTTAAGCGCTCATGTATCTTTCGATTTTTCGATACATGACTGACGAGGCAGTTTTTTTTCCAGCAGTAGGTTATCATTTCTTTCAGCGGTAGACCAGTTGCCATCCAAGGCTCTAGAACACATTCTGTCCTGCTATTTACTCAAAGCTGGGTGGGGAGAGAAGAAGATTCATACCTTTCCCACGGATATTAGCACGTAAGTGAATGTAATGGTTTCGACTTGAATTCGAACTCGGCTCACCGATTCTTCAATCCGAGCCGCTATCCATTAGATAACGATTAACATTGCACCTAAAGTTTTGAAGATTAAAGTTTGCCGGAAGAGAGTTCCACAAGTGAGAAGTGCAAGAGAAGAAACTGTTAGCATAGAACTTACGGTTAGATCTAGCCAGTTCAACTGTAAATTGATGAGACCTAGTTGCCAATCTA